ACGGTCTGGGATTCTGTGTAAATGATGACCGTATTATTGTAACAGAGTGCTCTTCCAGCCCGTTAAGGGAAGGTGTGAACAGCTGGGTTTGTGCACATAAACATATACAATTAATTTTAAATTAGGTATAAAAGAGGTTAAATGTAATGTTTAAGGGCTTGGGGGTTATTTTTCCATGATATTCTTTAGTTAGCTTGTGGTGCAGTAATCGCTCTGGTAATATTTTGTTCCTTTCTCTCTGTTCTTAAACCCAGCTGTCTGCCAGCCAGTGATTCATTCCGCAGGGACGTGGGGAAAGCAGTGGAAAATCTAATTCCGCCGTTATTGTACAGTGTGTTGGACAGAGCAGATAAACAGGTAAAGTGTGTTTCTTTGGGGTTTCTTTTGTGGACTGCATTTCTCTTAGAGAGCTGAAACACGCCTACATCATGACCAGCTCTTCTCTTTCAAGTAGACCTTTAGGATCAGTTCTTTTCCCAGAGAAAAGGAGCCATTTCCGTGCTGTTTGGTCTGGTTCACTGAGTGCTGTATCTTCAGCTCATTGCAGTTCAAATGCTGACAGTTTTAGAATACACATATATAAAATATCCCAAACATGAACATATTTAGAACAAACCCAAATATACATAAAACCCCACTTTTTTCCTGTCCCCTAAACCTGTGACTCATTTGTAACTAACCACAGTTTCATATTCATTATTTATTCTTTCTTTTGTAAGAAAGATAAGGCATAAAGAAGCTAGTTTGTGTTCTGCTTTTGAAAGGTACAGTGGATTGTGTGGGGGAGGTAAATGTTGAGGTTAGTACCTGGTTTGCGTGTGTTCTGAAGCTGTTAATCTGTTTGTTTTAACAGCTGCTCATATGTCCTCCAGTTACTCGATTCTTCTATGGCCATAGGGAGTTCTCCTATAAGCTGTTAATCCAAGGGGACTCCTCAGGGAGGCTGTGCATTTGGAGTGTGCCTGATGCTCTCGAACAACAGGACAGCGCTAAAGGTACACCTCATTAATGGTTTTTGCTGGGTAATGGGGTTAAACTTGGAGATCTTCTCAGAAAAGCATATATTTATATATGTATATATATTTATTTTTAAATCCTTCACTTATTTTTCCTTCGCTTTCTCTTTACCCAGGACTGCCGACAACAACTTCAGTGTCCCTCCAGGAAGCCTTTGACAAGCTTACCCCTCGCCCCGCGGGCATTATAGACCAACTGAGCTTGATACCAAACCTCAACGAGCCGCTGAAGGTGACGGCCAGCGTGTACATCCCCGCGCACGGGCGCCTGGTCTGCGGCCGGGAGGACGGCAGCATCGTCATCGTGCCGGCCACGCAGACCGCCATCGTGCAGCTGCTGCAGGGAGAGCACATGCTCAGGAGAGGTGCGTGTGTAGGCATTGACAGGCGCGTTCCTTCAGCATTGCTCCTGAGTTTTGGGGGTGCAAAGACCTGGTGGGAACATCTCCTGTCTCATCCAGAACAGCTCTGGGCGCTGCGTTCAGCTGGGATGTGGGTACGCCTGGGGAAGTTACCACATCTGAAAGGGAGATGAGTGTCACAGGTTGCCTGCTGTGGTGTACTTTGGTTCCAGATCGTGGTGTTTTAATAGTTTGGTGATCGCAGCTGCAGAACAAATATTTGGGTTGGGATTGTTACAAACGTTGGTAAATGTGAAGACTCGTGAATATTTTTCTGTGAATGTAGGTGGGAGCTGGTCAGTTCTGTCCAAGGCTGGTGGCTGTGCTGTTGCCTTTAGATAACTGGTTTGCTTTATACAGAAGTGGTTTGTTTATTTTTCTCAATGTGAAGTTGATACGTTATTCCACAAATAAGGCTTGGTGGTTCCTACCCTCATGAAAACACACAAGTGCCCATATGTATTCTACACGAGGTGTGCTGTGCCTGCTGGAAAGGATGATCACAGAGGGGGAAAAACTTCTACCACATCGTGCAGACGTTACACACACCACTTGATTCTGGCAGTTAATTTACTGGGCCCGTTCTGTCACATTTGCTGTATAAAAAGGCGGTTTTTCTAAGCATCTTTTGCCCTAGTGAAATCATTCTCATTCTTCTTAATGCGTCTGATCTCAGTGAACAGAAGACTCGCCGTTCTTTTTGTGCTCACAAATTGTTTTGCATTTTAAAGTTAAATTCGATGTCATTGACCTGTTCTGCACAATTTGTTGTTTTGCTCAAGAACAGTGCTTTGGATTAACTCTTCTATTGAATCACATTTCTCTCTCTCTCTTTTTCCTCTTTTCTTCCCCCCTTTCCTATGTCTCAGGTTGGCCACCTCACCGCACGCTCCGAGGCCACCGCAACAAAATTACGTGTTTGCTGTATCCTCACCAGGTTTCCTCTCGGTATGACCAAAGGTATCTGATCTCAGGTGGTGTGGATTTCTCAGTCATCATATGGGATATATTTTCTGGAGAGATGAAACATATCTTCTGTGTGCATGGTGGAGAAATTACGCAGCTGCTAGTTCCACCTGAAAACTGTAGCGTAAGTTTGACCTAATACATCTGATAATGTGTCTCACACTTCCCATAAATGGTGCAGCTCCGCAAGTCCTCGAGTGTGTAAATATCATATGAAATACAGAAGATTTAGCGCTGGCCCAGTGTATAGCTCTTGCAGACACTTAAAGAGTTTAATTGCTCTGTTAATCTTGGTTTTGCTCCCGTCATGTTTTAGCTCAGTGAAGGATTAAAACCAATGGGAACACTGGCTATTAAAGCTGAGCTAGCTAAGGAAATGCTTGGCATTTTACCGTGTACAGCTTTAACAGTGGGAGAGGATTCCCGCACCACAGAAGCAGCCTTTGTGGATGTGATGGGCAGCCATTCCCACTGGTTGGTCCATGGGCTCTAAGGACAATTTTGTCTGTCTTAACTTGGATGAGTAGGAAGAATTTAATGAATAAAATCACATTGATTTTACTTGAAAACCGTGGCCTCTCTTTTTGGCTCGACAAAGCAGGTTCTAGTACCAGTTTGCTCTTCATGCAAGAGCTTGGATTCAAGAGAATCTCTGCAAGTGCAATTCTGTTTCTAGTGACCTCTGAGTTTAGCCATAGACTTCTGTGCCTGGTTTTGGTTTGTGAAGCAGGTTGTTGATCACTGCATGGTCCAATGAAGAAGAGGTTATTAAATGCAAACTCTCTGCATGATGATTAAGATTTATTTTCCTTTTTTCCCCTTTTCTCAGGCCAGAGTCCAGCACTGTATCTGCTCCGTTGCCAGCGACCACTCAGTGGGTCTTCTGAGCCTGCGGGAGAAGAAATGCATCATGCTGGCATCCCGGCACCTTTTCCCTATCCAGGTCATCAAGTGGAGGCCTTCTGATGACTACCTGGTGGTGGGGTGTTCGGATGGCTCCGTGTACGTCTGGCAGATGGATACTGGTACGGTTCTGTTCAGAGATGTTGAGTGAACATTTATATATGTATTTATATATAAATATGTATGTATTTGGTGATAATTCTGTATAAGTTGCACCTGAGAGGAGAGTTAAAGTATTTTTGCATGTAGGTGTTTAAAGGTGCTGAGCAGAGCAGTCATCGCTCTGGTCAGCCCAGAATCACACTTTGGGTTTTCTAAACTGGTCTTGATTTCTGCTAATATGGGGTTTTTTTTCCTTACACACTTCAACTTCATGGAACCATAGGAAAATTCCCTCCCTTTAGGAATATTAGTTCACAAATAGCTGTTAACGCAATGGAAACTTTGATGTTGTGTCCTGTGGTATAAATTAATTTCTCCCACTGTGTCACTGGTGATAGTTTGGACATCCTGAGTTGTTTCTGCCTAAGCTCAGGCTTTTGAAAATGTTCTCTCCAGGTGCGCTGGACAGGTGTGTGATGGGGATCACGGCGGTGGAGATCCTGAATGCCTGTGACGAGGCGGTCCCGGCGGCAGTGGACTCGCTGAGCCACCCGGCCGTCAACCTGAAGCAGGCCATGACCCGGCGCAGCCTGGCTGCTCTCAAAAACGTGGCGCACCAGAAGCTGCAGACCCTCGCTACCAACCTGCTCGCCTCCGAAGCCTCTGACAAGGTCAGTGGCCTTTCCGTTGGCCTGGTCTTAATGCACTACCTGAAACTTGTGTTTCCCTGTCCCTGCCGCAGTCTGGGCTGTGACCAGTGGAGAGCAGCAGAGCTCTGCTCCCACGGCCGCTTGGCTCTTGCGTTTCTTCAGGTATTTTGCTGCCTTCCCTTATATTCTGTTGGGAAAATAAATAAGCAAGCCAAATATTAGCAGCCTGAGATTATGAGTTTGCACATGAAATAAAGTATCAGTGGTAGAAAAATGAAGATTGCAGTCTCAAACAGGACTAACCCAGTGGATCACTTTAGGTAAGTGCACGTTCTGCGTGTCACATTTCGACAGGATTAAAGGAGCCGTTTCTTACCCTGGTTTTCCCCTGGGCCTCGTGTATTTTTGGAGGGGAGAGGTTGTTCTTGAGCCAGGAGAAATGAATTGTGGAGGAGCTGCGGCTGCATCATGGGCTGCTCTTGACGGCAGCTCAGGGCCCGTCGGTCTCCAAATGTAAAGCTGTCGTGAAGCTTTGGAGAGGTCGCATTTTCCTCTGAAGGAGGAAAACGGGAAAGAAACGTGAACTGTCTTATCGAGAGAGCTCTGTGAATCTGGGAGGTGTCTGCAAGTGAGATGTCTGTATTTTAGGGGTGCGACACTTGATCACAAGTTTGACATTGTGCAAAGTGCTGTAGAATTCTTCAGTGATGCTTTATAACCTTTATCATGACGTGTGTCTGTGTGAGCTGTTTGATCCACAGCTTCCTGAATTAGTGAGTTGACTTTGTGAGAAGTGCTAAAGCAATCCAATCAACACTTCAACATCTTTTTTCCTTTTCTTGTCAGGGGAATTTACCCAAATATTCCCACAACTCCCTGATGGTTCAGGCCATAAAGACTAACCTAACCGATCCCGATATCCACGTGCTCTTCTTCGACGTGGAAGCCCTGATAATTCAGCTGCTGACCGAGGAGGCCTCCAGGCCCAACGCTGCCCTGGTTTCTCCGGAGAACCTGCAGAAAGCCTCTGGTGGCTCGGACAAGGGCGGCTCCTTCCTGGCGGGGAAGCGAGCGGCCGTCCTCTTCCAGCAGGTCAAGGAGACCATCAAAGAGAACATCAAGGAGCATCTGCTGGATGACGAAGATGAGGACGAAGAGTCGATCAGGCAGAGAAGAGAAGACGGCGACCCAGAATATCGCTCCAGCAAATCCAAGCCCTTAACTTTACTAGAATACAATCTGACCATGGATACGGCAAAGCTCTTCATGTCCTGCCTTCACGCCTGGGGCCTGAACTCGGTTCTAGACGAGCTTTGCCTCGACCGCCTTGGCATGCTGAAGCCCCACTGCTCGGTGTCCTTTGGCCTCCTGTCCCGAGGGGGCCACATGTCCCTGATGCTCCCTGGCTACAACCAGCCCCTGGGCAAGCCATCGCTGGGCCGGAAGATGTCGGTGACGGAGGGGCTGGGAAAGGGGACGTACGGCGTGTCCCGCGCCGTCACCACCCAGCACCTCCTGTCCGTCATCTCGCTGGCCAACACGCTGATGAGCATGACCAACGCCACTTTCATCGGGGACCACATGAAGAAAGGTCCGGCCAGGTACGGCAAACGCTTGAGCTTGTGATAACTTGTGTTTTAATACAGCATTTTATTTAATTTCGTTTTACTCTGGGGTATCACAGTATCTGGAGCAAATAACCTCTCTTTTTCCTCTTCCCCTATCCTCCTCCTGTTCTGTTTTATATGTTTTATGTTTAGGCCACCAAGACCAGGCACTCCTGAGATGGCCAGAGCGAAGGCGCCCCCTTCCATTTCAAGTCACGTAGCCCAAGGACAAATTAAACAAGGTAAAACCCCTTGCTGTGGAGCAGTTGACACTGAAGCCATCACCTCGCTATCAAGTGATACAGATACCGGTAGTGAAGGGTCCGTGGGCCTTTCCTCTCGTAAGGGCAATGGTTCAGTGCAAGGGACAGTTCCTGTACAAGGGTGTGCACAAGATTAGGGTGAATTTTCCACTGGAGTAGAGCAGAGCCGAGCCCAGAGCTTCCTCTGGGAAGGGACACACAGAAATGGTCCTGCTAGGGATGGAGGAGGAGGAGGAGGCGCCTTCCTGCTCCTTCTTGAAGTCAGAACCGCTGATTGGGGCAAATTAATGCCAGAAATAGGGTAAATGTGAGCCCAGCTGCATGCATGCACCGTAGGGCAGAAGAGGAAAGGTTTTTCTTATTTTCCATAATGTGTTTGGTTATTTTTTTAACTAAGCTATAGGGCAGATATCCTTCAGGACTCATTTGAAGTGTCTTGCAGTCATCTTTTCACTGTTACAACTTTGTCTTTCCAAGCTATGTGAAACTTGCAGTTTGTAGAATGACTGCGCTTTGCAGAACAGAAATACTTTATATCATCTTTAAAGATACAATCTTTATAATATGTACATGTATAATGTGTGTAATCTTTAAAGACGTACATTAAATGTGTCTTTAAGCTGTGGATCTGCTCTTGGTCAGCACAGCAGGTGACTCACACATCGCCTCCGTGGTTTGCTTCACTCACGTGCAGCAAGGGGGGCTGTTTATGTCTGGGGAGGAAACGTGTCCATCAGCGACACTGGTGTGTATTTATTCTTCTCCTGAATGTTAATTCACTGTGGCCTTTGGTTGGAAAGGGAGGTTCAGTTCCAGGAGCTTTTCCCATGATCAGGGGTGCAGCGTAAGTAGAGAAGTAGCAGTCAACAGCAACAGGCAGAAATCAGGAAATCGGGGCTCTTGTCTCTACAAGTGGGGCTTTTGGGTTTTGGTGTTTTGTGTGAGGTTTTGTTACAGCCGTGTACTTTTCCCCTTTGGAATACAGTTATTTGGAAGGTCAAGGTTTCTCAGAGGTGGTGTCTGTGTGGCACATTCAGTGCAAGGAAAAGCATTAGTCAGAGTGTTTTGTTTTTCAAGATGCGGTTCCATACTGGTTTTTCTTTCCCAAATAACAACTATACAACGTTTCTTAGAAACAGCTTAGCTAACTTTGGTGACAGACACACTTTAATTACCTGCTGGGAATGTTTATAACCTCATGAGAAGCAATTGATAAAAGTCCAGAACACGGACAAACCCCCCTGTCCCTAAATTGCCATCTCAGTGCGGTGGCACTCGGTGCCTGCGGTCACAAGTCCCTCAGCCCCTTACCTTGCTCGTAAATTCCCAGCGCTGTTATTCTTAGAAATCAATTAGAGCTGCAGTTAATGCCTGTTCTGACGCTCTTGATCTCCACCTCCCTGACCGGTGTTCAGCGCCGGGGCCAGCTGCTCCATGACAGCACCCATTGTAACCGCGCTGACCTTGGGAGAAGAGAAGAGAGTTTCCCCAAGCAGTCTCTTTTCACCAAAGAAATGGCTTTTTAATAACCCCAATGATCCCGAGAGGGGGTGTCGCTGATGGGCGCCGCTCGTCCTGTCACCGCACCCGTGCCGTGGTGGCGCAGCGGGGGCGCCAAGCACGGCACAAGTGGTTGTGCCGCAGATGTCCCATGAAGCAAACAGCCCGTTGGCAGGACAAGGAGGGAGGCTTTTCGGGAGCCTGAGCCCTTTGTTGCACTGCAACGGCATAAAAGAGGGGATTAACGGGAGGATGCTTGTGCACGACATACGGTAATTTGGTCATGGGCAGGAAGTGTTGGGCGGTGACCCGCGGGGCTCCGCGCTGACCCCGGGTCATGGGGGGAGTGTGTATGTGTGTGTGTGCCAGAAGGACCGCACGGCTTTTCATGTGATAATATGAAGTCAGGAAGCATTAGTGGGAGTAGTGGGACGTGTAGGGCTGCTTTTAAACTGCGTCTGCACCAAAAAATGCTGTGGTTTACAGCGTAAATGTCACGGGTGCCGCTTCGAGGAGCGCTTGAGCTCTGCTCCTCTGTATTTCCTTGCCCGTGGTCCTGCGCTGTACAGCTTGGGCGCTTAGCCCTTGGGGATGGGTGTACAATTATTTGAGTTTACAATTGTAACACATTTAAAATGAGCCTATATTAAGAAGAACCATCGGTAATAAGTTCTGTGGCATCTTGGGGGGACAGATGGGGCAGCCCAGGTTTAAAGGGGTTATTCCTGGAGGTTTTAATGAGCAGTACCAAATCTCAATAAGGGAAAAACACAAGAAGACGTAGCGAAACTCCTTGATTTAAAAGTCACAGTGAGCCCAGATCTAAATTCACACTTGTAACCGCTTTATTTGGGGTTCTTCTGTCTCCTCCCGAGGTGGAGTTTCTGTCAGCGTATCTGTGTCCCTGCAGCTGCATGTCTCCTGTCGCCGGCATCGCGCTTCCCGTCACCAGGTTTTTTCAGTTCTCTGCCCGCGGTTCCCCCGGCTCTGTTCTCATTCTGCACTGACACCGACTGTTTTTCAGAAGCCGCTCTCCTCACTCTGCTGGTTTTGTTCTCTCTTCCTCCTTTCCTCTGCCAGTCGCTCCCGCTGTCTCCTCCAGCGCTGAAGCTGGGCACTCTGCCTCTGACGCTGCTCCTCCTTTCCATTCCTGTTTCTTAGTCAACGAAGGTATCTCGCCTCTCTTTTCTATCTATACTTGTCTTTTACATTCGACCGATGTCCCTTATCATTGTTACGACTTTAATTTCAGCTGCCTAGGGACTTTTGGCTTTGCTGCTGTCTCGTGACAAGAAACCTCAGCCCCTTTTTAAGCAGGGAAAACGCCCGTACCCATGGGTAGTGAGAGAAGGAGCACAGGGCACGCGTGTTCATGCCTGTGCTGTGCTTTTCCGTGCTTCTTTTCAAATGAAACAACCAAAATCAACTCTGTGTCATGTAAACTTTCTTTTTGGTACTTGGGTTCGTGTTGGGATGATTTTTGTCCCAATAAATATTTATCAGTATTACGAAGGACGCCTTTCTGCCCAAAAGACTGGCACAAAACCCCCTTGTATCCCTGTAGGAAACTTGCTGGAAGTCAGAATTTTTATGCCCTCATTACTAAGCTATAAATTCTTGCTTTCATGCATCTCGAGCAGCACAAACAGCACTCGCTTCAATTGGAAATTCCTCTTTTAAATCCTTTAAGGAGAATGGACATAATGATTTCTCGTAGCACCATGAGGAGCTTTCCTAGTTACAATATTTAGATTGTTATGCTCAGCATTGCTGACAAGTTAAAGGTATAGATCTATATGCTCACCTGAAGCGTTTCTCCTCAAGGCACAATACTGAAAGAATTACTTTACAAGTGTTTTCACAAGCTCTGCTGCTTATCCTTGCTGGTTTCAACTGCACAGTGTTGCAGGCTCGTAGTATGGATGTACCTGAAGTAGTGAGATGTAGCTGGAAAGACGGGGCAGCAGACAAACACGGGCTTGTACGTATTTGGATACCTTTTAAAATGGGACAGAAAATTCCATGTAATCTTTCTGGTGGTCATTTATATGCCAAGTTTTCTGTAATTGAGTTGTATCGCGCTTGCATGTAGGGCTTGAAGTACCATTATAAGCACTGCTAATTATGAACAGAGCATCTAAATCTTTATATTTATCATGGGTATTGAGTATGTTCTGTGCTCTGTGACTTCACCCAGGAGAGCTCCTTGGTGAAGGTGGGGTGCAGCCCGTGGTGGGTGAACCCCGTGTACCCCTGCACACCAGGCCAGTGGCCGATGTGCATTTACTCAGTGGCATTTTGAACTTAAAACTGCGTCTGTGTGTGTCACGTTTATCACCTCGTGGTGGTGTTTTGTCAGGATGGAGCCAGCTGGCCGCTATGCACTGTGTGATGCTGCCCGACCTGCTGGGACTGGACAAGTTCAGGCCTCCGCTGCTGGAGATGCTGGCTCGCCGCTGGCAGGACCGCTGCCTGGAGGTGACTGTTGTCTTTTCCTGGCTACAGTTCCCCTTAGTACAAAACAATACGTCGTTATTTTCTGACACACATTCCGCTTTCTTACTGCAGATTCAGTAAGTTAACTTTCCAGTTCGCCTGCCGCAGTGTTGAAAAAATGATCGTGTCTAAATACATCTGTAGATATTTTCACCTTTAAAGAAACTGTGGGATTAAAGACTTCCATGGTTGCACTAAGAATCTCGTCAGGATTAAAATCCCCGCCCTGTGTTTTCCAAGAGGCTGCTGAGTCGCTGCATTTTTTTGGAGCGTGTGAGCGGTGGCCAGTAACTGGTTTGTCACCCGCGTGTGATAAATGAGTAGTGGGCCTTAACGCTCCACCTGTGCTGCTGTGGAAAAAACTTGCTGACTCTGCAGCTTTTCCAGCAGGTGAAACTGGGAATTCCCTTAACTGGGAATAGGGATTTTGCCACCCGATTGCCTGCCCTTTTCCTGGATGGGATACACTGCGAGGTGGCTTCCTGCCATTACTAATTTAATCATTAAAATTTATAAGCAACACGAATCCAGTTACTGGATATCCTTAGGTATCAGGGTAGCAGATTTGTATTTGTCCTCAATTTTTTATTTTACCTTGATCAAATCCTTGTGCGTTAAATCTTGTAGACCAAAAATACTGCGTTTGTTTGGGAACTCTTCATGTGGAGCAGGTGATATTAACGGAGGACAAAGAGTCCAAGTGCTGTAGAGAAGGGTGATCACAAATTGCTGGTAGAAAACGGGAATTTTGGTGGCTTTTCAGTGCCTCAGTGCATGTTTCCTGAGGGAGAATCCTGCCTCGGTGACTCTGACCCACAGCAGTGGGGAGAACCAAAGTCTTCTAAGAGCTCCCTTTGGTTTCCTGTAGAAGTTTGGGGTTTTTTCTTTTGTTCTTGCTAAATTATGCTGAAAAGGTACTGAGAAATATGTGAATTAGTCTGATATTCCCCTTGGCCTTGCAGGTGCGAGAAGCTGCCCAGGCCTTGCTGCTGGCAGAGCTGAGGCGGATCGAGCAGGCGGGTCGGAAGGAAACCATCGATGCGTGGGCTCCGTACTTACCGCAGTACATGGACAGCGTTATATCGCGTGAGTGCTGCTGTGAGAGACCTGAAAAGAACCTGGTGCTATAGATATTAAAAAAAAGGCATTTTATACACAAAATTACAAACAGTACTGCCAATCCAGGGGAAAGCTCTGGAGTTACACAGAAAAGTTTGGTTTATATTTGCTCTTAACTCGTAGGTGCTCATCTCTCTTAAAATGAGCTGCTCTTTCCTCTGAATGTGGTTTCTGTTCAGAGCAAGATGTCTATTAAGCAGCCATTGATTTTTGAGAGATGTGTCATAATCTCGTTAAATCTCAATTGAAGGCATAAATTTCGGGGAACACGGTGCGTTGAGGTGGTGTTGGGAGCTCGTTGGTGGGGACTAAGCTGTTGTTAATCACAGCCCTCGGCCGTGCAGCGTGTGCCTTGTTACGGGATGCTGTTGTGCAGTTAGGTGTGCAGCCAAGCAGGGCATAATAAGCACAAATATGTCGTGTATCCATCTCAAAGAGCCTCAGCTCACGTAGATAAGGTATTTGTGCCATTTTGGATGCTAGGCTGTATTTTTTAATTGATCCTCGTATGAGATCAGTTATGCTCAGGTTGTGGAGTGCAGCCATCGTTGCCCTTCAAGAAGAAAATATAAAATAGAGAAATCAGCTGAGCGTGGCTGCAGGAGCGACTTGAATGTAAATGTTCCACGTTGTGAGAGCACAGATATTGAAAACCTTTCAAATGGGTCACGACCAGCAAATTGGAATTAAGTTTTGGTATCGAGAGCATTGAAAACTCTGAGACTTACAGTTATGGAGTTTGTGGTTCTCCTGAATGACAGGGCTGAGGAAGTGTTTAATGGTGTTGCTGTCTGTGCACAGACACACTCTGAAGGGGAAGAAGAATTGGGATAGCAAAAAGGAGAAACAAAATACGCAGCTACAAAGGCTGGTGTTGTGGGTAAAGGGCACAGCGTATGTGATGTTAGGGGAGGTGTTAAAGGGGATAAGAATTACGTAGGATGGCCAAAATGGATGCAACGGACTTCTGAAAGTCTCTAGTTTTATGCTAGAAAGATAAGGAGAAGAAATATGAAAGATAAAGAAACATTGAGCCAGCACTGTGCCCACGTGGCCAGAAAAGCCAATGGTATCTTGGCCTGTATTCAAAACAGCGTGACCAGCAGGGCCAGGGAGGTGATCATCCCCCTGGACTCGGCACTGGTGAGGCCACACCTCGAGTGCTGTGTTCAGTTGTGGGCCCCTCACTAGAAGAAGGATGTGGAGATTGTGGAGCGTGTTCAGAGCAGAGCCACAAGGATGGGGAGGGCTCTGGAGAACAAGCCTGATGAGGAGCGGCTGAGGGAACTGGGCTTGTTTAGCCTGGAGAAGAGAAGGCTGAGGGGAGACCTCAGCACCACCTCCAACTGCCTCAAGGGAGCTTGGAGAGAGGTGGGTGCTGGGCTCTGCTCCCAGGTGATGGGGGATAGAACAAGGGGAAACGGCACCAAGCTGTGCCAAGGGAGGTTCAGGTCAGAGCTAAGGAGGAAGTTCTTTACTGAGAGGGTCGTCAGAAGCTGGCACAGGCTGCCCAGGGAGGTGGTGGAGTCCCCATCCCTGGATGTGTTTAAAGAGCGGGTAGATGAGGTACTTAAGGATATGGTTTAGGGGGTAGACAGGAGCGGTTGGACGTGATGATCTCAGAGGGCTTTTCCAACCGAGCAATTCTGTGAATCTGTGATTGCTTTGATTCCTTCATCCTCTATTTCTCCCAGTTTTGCCTCTTGATGTAGGGACATAAATGATCACCAGCACGCTTTTGTGTCCAGTATATGCTATTAATCTGCAGTAGTTGTTCAGTGCGTGATGTGGAAATGTGCTTCTCTGCCACACTCCCAGGTTGGTGTTAATTAAAACATGTAATCACCAGTAGGAGCTTGCTGCTGGTACAGGATACTTTGTCATACACGTTTGATTGGCTCTGGAATGCATCGGGTGTGCAGTGCCAGCAGAGGGGGGGGACCAGGTCTCTGTCTGATGTGGGCCATGGTAGTGGACACATGGATGTGTCTGTGGTGCTGAGAGTTTGACCTGCCAGGGTGGTGCAGGGTTGGCATTTTCAGGCTCCCCCCGGGAGGAAAACAGCTCAGCATTGAAGGCTTCATCTCCCTTCTGAGGAGCGGCTGAGGGAGCTGGGGCTCTTTAGTTTGCAGAAGAGGAGACTGAGGGGAGACCTCATTCAAGTTTATAAATATTTCAAGGGTGAGTGTCACGAGGATGGAGCCAGGCTCTTCTCGGTGACAAACAATGATAAGACAAGGGGTAATGGACACAAACTGGAACACAGGAGGTTCCACTTCAATTGGAGAAGAAACCTCTTCTCAGTCAGGGTAACAGAGCCCTGGCCCAGGCTGCCCAGAGAGGTTGTGGAGTCTCCTTCTCTGCAGACATTCAAAACCCGCCTGGACGCCTTCCTGTGTAACCTCATCTGGGTGTTCCTGCTCCGGCAGGGGGATTGGACTGGGTGAGCTTTGGAGGTCCCTTCCAGTCCCTGACGGTCTGGGATTCTGGGATTCTGTGTCTGCTAAGATTGTCACGCAGGTATTTGTCATGACCTTGTCTGCTCCTCGTTTTCACAGCACACCACGGCTCTGAAATGCTGCATGGGGTGTTTGCCCCGAGGTTTTTGGGTGGCATTCAGAAAGGGGAAGACACTGCTCCCTTTACCTGCGTATTTTCCAGAGCAAGAGTCGGACTGCAGAGTAAATTCTCTTTTCCACGGAGGTTTCTTTGCTGAGCAGTGTGTTTCTATTGGCTTCATTGCTTTGTGTTACCTGGGTCAGTGTAAACGTGTTCTTGGCCGGCTGCAAGGATGCTCTGGGGCTCTGCTCCCTGCACCAACCCCCGGGGACAGATGGATTTTAAATACGTGATGTTACTGCAGATAGGAAAACGGCTACTGGGGCTTCAACAGAACGATGTGCTTTAGGAAGTTTTATTTAAAGCCAGATTAATTGAGTAAAAGTTAATTAAACCTGCATCGATTTGAATGGGAGTTTTCATTGAGTAAGGAGAGTTTGATTGGACCCCAAAGGCTTTGCTGTTCCTGTGCGTGGTTGATCATCTTCCTCGTGCGAGGTTTGGCTTAAGAGAGCACGGAGAAGTAAGGACATAATTCTGTGCTGCAGCATTTTAATGCCCTAAATGAACAATGAGTTTAGGATGCTGTGGTAAACAGTAAATTGTCATAAAGGCCTACGTTTCTAATAGCAGTGCTTAATTTTCCAGTATTTTCTGATAATGTCACCTGGCTTATTCCAAATCCGTTCAGGGCTTTGTGGGATTTTCACCTCTAAAATGTGTTTCTGAGGCGCACAGACTTTGTAACTTTCTTTAACATGGTGCTATGTGGCAAAATTTGCTGTTCATTGTGGAGTTTCTGATAGCAACAGAGGCATCCCTGACCCAAACGGCTCGGAATAAGGGAAAATACAGAAGATGCTCACAGTGTGGAGAACATTTGTAGAGGACAGGTTTGTGAGAAGTCTGCATACAGTGCAAAGGGAAACCAGAAAACAGCGGCTCTTGGCTTTATCTGTGATTCATGGTGTTGCATTGCGCGGTTCAGAATATCAAAAGGTAGTTAGTGGGTGGTTTTTTCCTGATCTGAAGATGTTATGTACCAAACCAGTGACTCGTGTGTGTGTTTGGTGTTCCCTCCAGCCGGAGTGACCACAGAGGCCATGCAGAGCGGCACCGCCAGCCCCGACTCCCTGGGGACAGAGGCCAAGGTGCAGGAGGAGGAGCACGATCTGGTGGACGACGACATCGCGGCAGGTGAGCGGCGATACAGTGAATACGGTGGTTTTGGACACGGAGGGCGCTGTGCGGAGGAGATGGAGCGCTTTCTGCCAAAGAGCTGCTCTTCATGAGAAAGTGAAGCACTGAAACTGCTTGTGAAGTGTGTGCTGTTAGAAATGAAGTCATTCTAAAGCAGGAAGGATACACAGACAAAACCAGACTGTAGCTGCTCAACTATAACTACTATAATATTATGGTGTTACTCCTCAGTAGCACTGCACAGACAGAGGTTTACGTGGAGAATAAAACCTGCTGCTGGTAGGTGTTCATCAGCTGGAAAACTTAATCTTTTAACCTTTGCAATCTGTCAATATTCACAAATTGATTTTTGTGCATAATGAGGAGCATTTTGTAGGCAGTAACCATCCTTTAACTGGCCAAGTCAGAAGCGAGGAACATCGCTAGATTAACCCATACTCTAAGCTTAAAAGCAGCACTTTGATCACAATATTTGTCTGTGTTCGAGATGCAGCAGTGTAAGGGCATGGGTTGTGTTTCTGGTGATTTATCGTGTGTCTCACCGCACCGTCACCACTGTACCTGGAATTTGCAGACATTTTTAACCTCCAGATATATACATAATGCACATGCTATGCTTTTTTGGTGAAAATTTCAATAACACATCTCACTTCTGCACCACTTTGGATAGTTTCTGGTTTTAACCACTCTTCACTGCCAATCTGGGGGTGCAGATCAAGGGGCCCACCTGCCAGCACCCACCATGCAGCACGGTGGGGCGGGCCCCGGAGCCGCGCTGGTCCTGCTGGCTGCTTTTCAGGAGGTCAGACCCACCCTGAGCACCTTCCCAGCCCGGTCGCGTCCTGTTCTGTCTCTGCGGCCGCCACACAGAGATCAAAGCAGCTTGTAATTGGTGTTTGGTCACTGGTTGGAAAGCCATCTACCATATCGTGCACTGGCTATTGTGGGAAACGCCAGAGAAGTGAGGTGCTGGCATCTAAAGCAAACTTCATCCCTTTCAGATGCTAATTATGAACAGGGAGGAAATCACACGGCCTCATCTCTGTCCCTGGGTCTTCTCTGCTACAATTAAAAATGGGATGTGAATTCACAGGCAGGTTATTTAACACAGAAAAGTTAATTTTTAGTGGAGGTTTCGTGTGTACCACCAGGAGCTCTGAAGCAGCTTGAGAACTGTGTCTAGCAAGTAACTGTACGCCAGGGTAGCTGGAGTTTCTCAGCAAACGATGGAGGTTTTGTGTGTCTGAGCAGATGTGGGCATGCGGAGCAGCTGTCACCGTTAAATGCCATTGAGAGCTGCGGTCCCTGACATCTGCTCGGGGAAGCGCTGGTGCAGGGAACGGCTCGGGCTGGGGGCACGGGGGGTCCTCAGATTAAGAGGACCTGGGCTGGAAAAGCTGGCAGAATCACTTCCTGCCACCCCCGAGGGCAGCAAAGCCAGGAGCAAGTGACTTTGCACAGTTTAAAGTATTTACTTCGTCCATCAGGGATTCCAGTGAAACCAGTGTATTACAGGGAAGCCCTATTCGCATGCAGCACGGTTTGGAATAGACAGTGTTCAATATTGATTTCTAGGGTAGCACAAGGAGCAGTCTTCAACGTGCATTCGTCTACAGGTGCTGCTGTGTTTTGAACACAGCTCTCTTCATTTAGTTCTGTATGGTTTCCGATTCCTGTGCTCATTTGGTGCCACAGTTGCGTTTACAGGTACATTATTAGAAGTTATTTTACGTAATTATAGTTACAATATTAAAAGAACCAGACACGAGCAGTGGGTCCACAACATCTCATGCCTCCAGTTACGCTGCTGGGGCCTCGGGGACCCTTAGGTTCTGCAGAGCCTGTCCTGCGGGTGCTGTTTAATGGCATTTTATTCTCAACACAAGTATTTCTCCTGAAGATAGAGATCTGGTTTGAAACTTATAGCAGTTTGTAATGCTTTTTAATAGTGTTTTCCTATAGTCAGGCTTTCAGAATAGCAGTTACCTACATAGGAAAACCTTTAAAGTAAAAAGCAGTGTATTATTGTATGGGAAATGGCTTGTTTTCCCATTTCAGCTGTGGTTAACTGCTCAAAAGTAAAATATAATACAGTAAACATAGTGAGCAGTGTTAAAAGACGATCATTTTGGCAGTGCTTCCTATAGCAAAACCTTGGGTTTTACCTGTGGGCGAGAGGACGAAGGTTGGTACGCCTCGCTCTTGTACCAGTGGCTGCGCTTTGATAAATAAACAGCTGATGCGAGACTCAATAGGCCGATGGCAGCACATAATAGCTATTCAGAGGCAATTAAACTGCCTTTTCTCATGCCGGCGTGCGAGCGCGCCCTTTGACAACCTTCAGCTTGATTTGCGGTGCTTCAAAATTAACTCAAAAGTCTTGTTTGCCGACAGCTTAAAGCTTCATTGACTGCGGGCCAAACCCGGTGCGCGCCGCCTTCAGCGCCGAGCCCTCGCTGCCCGCGCACCGCCTCCGCTTACTCTTGATTTCCATCATTT